GCTCTACTCACCGATTCTTTCCAGCCTGTCCAGCGCCACGGTTTCAAAAGCCCGTCTCATCATGGGATACTCTTCCAACACCTCGTTGAAGTTGTCCACCGACAGGGAGTAGAGGCGGCAGTAGGTGTCAGCTCGCACGCTTGCCGTGCGCCGGCCGCGCGTCAGCAGGCAGATTTCTGGAACAAAACCCCGGGCTGAGAACCCGACCTGGGAGAGCCCAGCAAGGCCTGTCGCTGCCTCCACACCCTACGCCACAGCTCTGCCTCCACACAACAGTGTACACGAGCCCTGGTGCAGTGGCAGCACCAAACAAAATACCAGAGGCCTCAACTGCTGCCCAGTTCGGCACCTCGGGGATTCGCCTGACCTCGTTAGCCAGCAAGGTCGGGAACCGCGGCTCAGCACAGATAGGAACCGTTTGCGCATTCAGAATGGGGACCTGTCTCGCTCGCTCTTTTCCCAGGCCATTGGCAAGGTCCCACTGGCGCTAACTCCCCGAGATGTGCACTCAGGGCTCTGACCTCACCTGGGACCTCGGTGTCAGGAGGGTCAGCAATCCCCCATGCTGATGACAGGTGGGAAAAGAGGCGGAGAAGATACTGGTGGATCGGCTCTGCTCTTATTTGCTGACAGGAAACGCCCCCGTGATGGAACTGTAACAATACTTCTTGTCACAGTTCTTAGGCCAGCGGACATCACACAGAGCTCCACATTGTGTATGCGTGTGTGCGTGCGCGTGTGCGTGCGCGTGTGCATGTGTGTGAATACTTCTTGCCACAGTTCTTAGGCCAGCGGACATCACACAGAGCTCCACATTGTGTATGCGTGTGTGCGTGCGCGTGTGCATGTGTGTGCATGTCCATGCATGTGTGTGTCCATGCCTGTGCGTGCGCACATAAGCACGTGTTTGCATGTCCATGCATGTGTGTGTGCATGCGTGTGCATGTGTATGCGTGCGCATGTGCATGTGTGCGCACGTCCATGCGCGTGTGTGCATGTCCATGCATGTGTGTGTGTCCATGCATGTGCATGCGCACATAAGCACGTGTTTGCGTGTCCATGCATGTGTGTGTATGCGTGCACATGTGTGCGCACATCCATGCGCGTGTGTGCATGTCCATGCATGTGTACGCGCCTGTGCATGTGTGCGCACATCCATGCGCGTGTGTGCATGTCCATGCATGTGTGTGCACGCATGCATGTGTGTGCACACGTGTGCATGTGGTTGGGTCCACATCAGCCACCATATCAGAGGCTTATTTAACTGCACTTGCATGTGTGCGCACGCATGCATGTGTGTGCACACATGTGCATGTGGTTGGGTCCACATCAGCTACCATATCAGAGGCTTATTTAACTGCACATCCACTAATATGATCTGTGCCAGCAATGCCCCTCTGCCATGTACATTGGCCAGACTGGACAGCCGGGAAAGAATGACCAGACCCAAATGAGATCTCCGAAAAGGCAACACACAGAAACCTGCTGGAGACACTTTGTCCCGCCCAGGCACTCGTTAGTGGACCTCCAAGTCACCAGGTTGTTTCAGGCCAATTCCATAAGCCAACTACACAGGGAAGCCTTGGAACTGAACTTCATGTACAGGTTGGGGACTGGTCACAAAGGTCTGAACAAAGACATTCCCTGGCCAGCACCCTGCCTGCCACATCCTGATGACTTAAAAACCAAACAACGGGCACTTAAGAACAATTTGCACCTTCTCTCTCAGCTTCATGTAACAAGAGCACTCTAGCTGATAGGGGGGGAGGGAGGCCGAGTCAGTCTGTAACAGGATAAACTTAAAACCCAACAAATGGTCTGGTAGCACTTTATAGACTCACAAAACAGGTTGATGGTCTTGTGAGCGATGGTGGGTACAGCCCACCGGTCATATGAGGAAGGGGGCTGTGCCCACGAAAGCTCATGGTACCATCCACCTGTTTTGTTAGTCTCTAAGGTGCTGCAGGACTATTCGTTGTTTTTTAAGTTTTGCCAGTTACAGACCAACGTGGCTCCCCTCTGGAGCTACTGAGCAGAGACCCTGCCTGACCCACAAGAACAGGGGAGCGGCCAGACTGAGTCAGACCAAAGATCCATCCAGCCCAGTGTCCTGTCCTCTGGCAGCCGCCACCTGGCCCACTCCCAGCTTCTGCCAGAGCCCGGGGCCCCATCGCTGCCCAGCCTGGCTGTGCACTGATCTAGCTCTTCTTTGACCCAGAGAGCTGGTGATTTCAGTGCAAGACTAAAGAGGAATCAGTTGCGCACTGCCTGGGGAACAGCCCCGGTCTTGTTGGGGCCTCACGGACTCTCACCTCCAAAGTAGGAGCCGTCGGCCAGTTTGGTCTCCTTGTTGCCCTTGGTGAGGACGCTGACCACGCCGTGCTGGATGAAGTACATCTTCTTGCCGATGGTGCCCTCCCGGATGATGTAGTCGCCCGGCTGGAACACCTCGAACCGCAGCTTGGTCAGCATGGACGTCACAAAGTTGGGATCCGCATTGGCGAAGAGCGGCATGGACGCCACCAGCTTCCGGCAGTTGAAGTTGATGATTTCCTGGCACCCGGCGGGGTAGGGGGAAGAAACAGAGACAGGCACAGAGAGAGACTCTTCATCCGGCTGCAATAACCTGCCAAGAGCCCTCCAGAGCCCCAAGCAGGACTCTGGAAAACCACAAAAGATGTGAGTCCCCACAAAGACCCCTTGGAGGAGGCCCAAGGCCTGCTGGGACAGCGCTCTGGGAGGGTCTGAAGGGCCACGTGTACTAAAGCTGGGAGCCTTAAGCTCGAATTCGAGATGCTCTCGCTCTCTCGCTAAGCAGGGACCCGACAGCCACCTCCCGTCGTGGGGGGCACTGGGGAAATGCCACAAGAGCCAGAGAGGTGAGTCCCCACAAAGACCCCTTGGAGGAGGCCCAAGGCCTGCTGGGACAGCGCTCTGGGAGGGTCTGAAGGGCCACGTGTACTAAAGCTGGGAGCCTTAAGCTCGAATTCGAGATGCTCTCGCTCTCTCGCTAAGCAGGGACCCGACAGCCACCTCCCGTCGTGGGGGGCACTGGGGAAATGCCACAAGAGCCAGAGAGAGGCTCGCCCCGGGAGAACGCTGTCACTCCGTGGTGCCCAGCGTCCTGCCGTGCCCTGGTCAGCCTTTGAGATGCTCAGCTGTGGAGATGTGCCCCGCCACGTGGCAAAGGAATTCCCGGGGCAAGTGGGGCTGGGTGGGAGAGGTGGCAGGGAGAGGTGCCCCCCAGTTAGCGAGGCTCAGGGTGGCCATGTCTGTGGTCTGAGTGCCCGAGACGGGATGATCCAAGAGGACTGTTCCTTTGCCAGGCACGGCCGATGCCCTGAGCGCGCCCCATGGCATCGCTCGTCACTGCACGGCCACCTCGATTCCAGCGCAGGAAACAGTGAAGTGAGACTGGGGCAAGTGGCCACCGAGCCCCTCCCCAAAGAGTCAGATTCTTCCGTCTGGGTGCAGTTTCCTCTGCCAGGCTCCCCGGTGGCCCCTCTCTCCCCTCCAGCCCATTCCCGCTGGGCACTGGCCTGAGGGGGTGCACATGTGCTGGGCAACAGGCCAGTGCTCTGCTGGCACTGACATAGGCGCTTGGGAATGAGTCTGGGGCCAGATCACTGGCTCGACTGCCGTGCTGGGCCACCAAGGGCAGGGAGGGGCCGCAGGACCGTGGTCCCCAGCTGGTCTCCTGGGATGGGGCAGCT